CCCAGCCTCTCTCCCTGCTGGCAGTAACTCCAGCACCACTGGATGGTTCTTCTCGATTGCTCCCTTTTCTTTTCTGTAATGAACCCCCACACCAATAGCTTCCCCTACCCCACTATCGTAACAATCACTCAAACCTTCCCCCTCTGCCACCACATCCTTCCACACTGCCACCATATCTTGACAGTTTTGCCCCCACTACTGTCACATCCCATCCGCTCATATCCAAGCCACCTCCACCAAATTTTTTTTTCCTTTATCCTAAATCCTAGCTAAAATCTTGACATAACCCTAACTCCCCCTTGCTTATTTTCAAAACCAGCAACCATAAATTACTTTTCCTACACGCTCAACGAGTCTCCTACTTACTCCTCCCAACTCTAAATCCTAGCCATGCCACCATTGAGATACATGCCCGAGCCTTCCCGGGAGGAGATACGGCGAGGGATCCGCTGACTTCGACAGTGGATTACAGACATGGAAATCCAATGGAAGGCTACCCTCGACCGTGATCCTAAAGGTCGAAGGGGAAACCAAGAAGATCTGAACATGAAGCGAGAAACACAGCGCCAGTTCCTTCCAACTTACTACAGCCAAAAGTTGCAGACTCTAGCTTTCTAAGTAGAGAGACTCATCACAAAGCGACCCTCCTTGCTACTATCCAATGAAAGCAATCCGCAAGTCTATCATTGTCAGGAAATGTTGCAAGTGTCACGGGTTTGGACATGTTGAAGCAGAATGCACAACTAGGGGATTAATTTACTTTACCAATAAGGACGTCATCAAAAAGTTGGGTAAAGACGCCACAAACACTGAAGTTGGTTAGGACATAAATGAGAACCCATTTCTAGTTGACGAGGACAAGATATACTTAGTTTCAACGCTGAGCTCATGGAAGAGACTCCAACCGACTTCATTGTAAGTGGCCAATTCAGTTATGAGTTGGAGTAGTCGAGATCAGACACATGACCCCCACAAACAAGAGAAAGGCAGATATGTTAGATCTATAGACCCTCTTCTGAGTTGTCCCTATGGAGAGAGGTCGAACATGTCCAAAGAGGAGTCATTATGTGTCATGCCTGGACTATTACAATGAGTAGTTCAGATGTTAGATTCAGCTCAGCGGAACACCCATCAACAAATTTTCAAGTGGGTAGGTTGAACCTTTTGAAATGTGCCCTAGAAGCCTAGGGGGATGAAAATTCTTCAATGGGATCCAGGTCCTATTACTGACGAAAATGTCTCTCTTAAGCGATCGCTAGTGAGAGTGACATAGCCTATCATAGATTTCATTCCAAAATTGGGTTCTCTTCACATACTTGCTAATCAACCATCGCATGCTAGGCACGCGAGGTGGAAGGAGATGTCAGATGTAAGGGCTCGAGAGTTGCATTGCGTGAACCCACCTCTATATGCAGCTTCCAGTCAATATGTGCCAAAAGAGGATGACTACCTATTCTACCAGAATGTGTTATGGAATAACAACACCGTCATGATCGACCTACCAGAGAATTTAACGCTGTACCATGAGGGTCCAGGAGCTTGGACGAATGAGGTCGAATCTCCCGGAGAATGACCTGGAGTTTTCCTCCAATAGCTGATCCGGTTTGGCCCATCCCAGTTTAGTTGAGAGAGGGGGATGAACTGGCCCCCTCTCCCATTTTCAATAGGTAGGAATTTTCCCTCTTCATGTTTTCATTTCCCGCCCATCCCTCTTCTATTTATATGCGTTCTTATGCTTTAGGATTTAGTTTTTGTCATATTTTGATTTCAGATTCTGTGTGGACAGCCGCTGATGTCGGGTTTTCCTCTCAAGGCTGTATTCGACGGAAATGGTGGTGCTCCCGCCGTGTCCATTCTCCCCGGTGGTGATCACCTTCCTCTGACTTCCATTGTCGTCCTCCCAGTCATCTCTTTGCTACTGTTTTCCTCCCAGCCATATCTTGACAACAGATTTTCCGCCTAGCTATACCTGTAACTGTTGTCCTACTCAGTCGTAATCCAACCCGCCAGCACCCCTTGTTTCCCAGCTGTTTTCCCTGCCTCCTGTAACGCCAACACTACTGAATGGTTTTTCCCAGTCGCTCCCTTTACTTTTCTTCCGTGAACTCCCACGCCCATAGCTTCCCCTACCCCACTACCGTAACCACTCCCCGCTGCCACCACATCCTTCCACACTGCCATCATATCCTGACAACTTTTTCCCCCACTACTGTCTCATCCTATTAGTGCCCACACACACACACACAAACACCCCCAAGCCATATGCCCGTATACCACTCATAGCCTTACCTTACCTGCAGCCACCCTTTTTTCACCAACACCCCACACCCGCTGCTCTTTCTCCCACCTGTAGCAACCCCCAACTCCAACAATCTCTGCCGCAACCCCACATCTATACTAGCCCTTGCCCACTGTCCATCCAACAACCCAACATAACCCCTACCCCTTCCTAGCCAACCTCCATACAACACCGTTGCTCTCCCCTGGGGAATCGTTTCTTTATTTGTTGTTGTTTTCTTATTTTAAAGAGTCATTGTTGTAACCCTATTGAATTTGAGTAATAATATTTGTGGTTTGGGTTTCTTCCGGTATCAAAATGTTAAAGTTTTAAAAACCAAAAACCAAAATTCATTGTTGAAACTGAACCGAACCAACCAAACTTCATTAGTTCGGTTCAGTTTTTCGGTTTTTACCAAAAAGTGCACAACCCTAGCTCTCTTCCATTTAGTTGCGCTTCATGCTTTGATTTTCGACATTTGGAGGTCGTTGGTGTGGAGATTTATGTCCTAAAATCGGATGATTTCTTCTTTCTATTCAGTTAGCTATACTATTTTTGTTAGTTTCCATTGAGTGTTGATTTACATTTGGTGGATGTGTTTGCTGTGGTGCAATTATGGTGATGCTTTTTTTGGCGTTTGAAATTGGTATTGTGGGGATTGACTGCCTCAACACCCTCTCAAACGCACAATATAACTCTCTGTTATTTATTTTGTTGTGGTGCATTAGTGTTGGCCTGTGGTGGCATTGTGATGATGCGGTTTTAGGCTAGCATAATTGTTGTTATCTTTTTACAGAACATTCTATTTCAGAGCTTCATGTTATTGTGCTTTTGCTGTGTGGCTTGATGTAGGGAGTGTGGTTAGGGTTTGCATCTTTTGTGAAATCAATGTTTAGCTTTTTTGGATGTCAGAATTGCTCCTTTATTTACACATAACATGTTGTGATGGATTGTTGTTGGGAGTGTGGTGCATTGTGTCCATCCTATTATGAATTCACTGTTTAGTTTTTTGGGTTTTTTTAAGATAACATAATTGCTCATGTGAATGCATTGTTGGTTTGGAGCTCTACGCCTTATGCTTTTGCTTTTGTTTTCTTTGAATAGTGGCATTGCGTCCATCCATTTCTGAAATCAGTGTTTAGGATCAGAGGGTTAATGTTTTTGGGCTTTTTTAAAGAAATCAGAAGTGCTCTTGTTTCGACACAGAGCATTGGACTTCATAGCTTCATCTTGTGATATCAACATAAAGTAGGAACAACTATATAGATGATACTTGAAATATTGCATATATGCTAATATGTTGATCACTTTTATGGAAGTTAATTTCTCTCTTCGGTCTTTCCCCTTCTATGCCATTTTATATAGCATATATGTTAATTACTTTTGTGAGGTTAATTTATGATGTGCTTACATTATAGGAATGAGGGGGGCTCGTGGTAGTTCAATATGTTGGTTCTCTCCTCTATTTTAAAATTTATCCTGTAGGATTGATCGTATATGTTGGTGTCCTCTCCTCTATTTTAAAAATTATCCTTTAGAATTGATCTTCTGGCTTTAAAATTAATTTTGTATAATATTAATTGTTCTTATATTTTTATTTTTTATTTTGATTGTTGTGTTACTGTTAAGTGAGATGTCGCTTCTAGATGTAATATTTGAACTCGTAAGTTTTTGAGGATTTTGAATATCTTTTTTATTTTTTTGTATGAGTTATTATTATATTACAACAAATACAACAATATCAGGATAAAAATATTTTCTTTTCATAAGCAGCTGCAACACTGCTACTGCACAACTAAACTAAGCAAATAGACTCACAACTTTTCCGTAGTAGCTTAATCACACAACTGCTGCATGACACCTTCTTCAAACAGCTGTAACTGCCCCGAATGTACCATACCTTTTAATAGGGATCTTGGATGGATTAGGTTTCTTTAATGCATTTATGTTTTCGGATAATTGTTATCGATATTACAGTACTTTACCTAAGTCCCGTGTCTTTATTTTTTTTGCAAGAATTCGAACTTAAGATCTTGACCTCTTATCTTAAAAGGAGAGCCCTTAGGTTTGAATCATAAAAATTAAAAAGAAGGGTAAAGTTTAACTTCTCACTTTTGGTCAATGTTTACTGATCTTGCACAATACTATACGACTTTGTCTTTTATTTTAGTTCTTAAGATAGCTTTCTTATGTCCGTTCAATCTGTATCATCAGCCATAATTTCATAATAATGCGCTGTCCTTGATATTCAAGGAGAATTCTCGACATTAAAAGAAATGCCCCTAAAACAAAGACAGTTCTCAATACTATTGTGGGCACTTCTCGTAGTTTGTGAAAATTTTGTAACCATTTATTGTTAAACCACAAGTTTTTCTTATTGCAGAGGTTTCAGAAATGCCAGTATGCTAAATCAACATTATTTAAGACTGAAGGCCGTGGATGGGGCCTTCTTGCAGATGAAGACATCAAGGTAACCTTTGCCTTTTATTAGCATTAATGCATCTCAAAATTTACCCACAGCCTTCCCGCTTATATTTACTGCTTATTGTAATTTGTGGGTGATCGAAAATTCTCTTTTTTATATTGTTGTTGGGCCTTCAAATGTCGCGATTTCAATTCTAATTCAGGCTGGGCAATTTGTCATTGAGTATTGTGGAGAAGTCATATCATGGAAGGAAGCTAAACAAAGATCTCAAGCATATGAAGCCGAAGGTATTGGCAATCATTAAAGCTCCACTTGGAAAAGTTTTTATACTACTAGCCGTTTAAAATGTCAAAAAGTTCTGTTAGGGTACTACTTTTATATAAACACTTTTGAAAAACTTTTGAGTTTATTTTAGCAGCCGTTGCTGTTTCAGAATAACTTTAAAACACGGCTTTCCAAAAATAACTTTCTATCAAATATGCATAGAAATGAATCCATCAAATGAAGCCTAAATGAATTTCATTTTCTTAAGATTAATCTTTTGTCTCCTCAATTTTTGTAGGTTTGAAGGATGCATATATTATTTCTCTTAACGGACATGAAACCATCGATGCCACTAGGAAAGGGAACCTGGCCAGATTTATCAACCATTCATGGTAATCTCACACGCACTTACATATGCAAGAAAGTTATCCCATGCAATGCATGAAATAATTACAAATTTTTATGGAGTTTATTTTTCCAATCCAATTATTAATGCTAAGGAGAGAATGAATTAATCAAAATTGTATATACTTTTAATATTAAGGTTGATATTGAGTTGTGTTCGAGTTAATTTAGCTTGACTTAAAAATTAAAGTCAATTTGACTTGAGCTAACTTATTCTAGATTGATTAGATTCAACTCAAAATTGAATTTTAATATTTAGGAATCAAAATAGATTTTGTGAGAGCTTCATATGATACAGGTAAAAGCATTTGATTGGCTGGTAAAAATTAAAACTACATCAAAAAAAATGCATAGATTATTCCTCTGTTGAACTGTAAATTGAATGCATGTATACTTTGAATTTGATCTGATTTAAAATATCTTGTCCTTCCATTAAAATCTAGTTTTTTAAGTAAGGAAAAACTATTTTTTATTTATATTCTGTAATATTAGGTTTTAAAAACCAAAGGTCCTTTCTCTTACTACTGATTAATAAATACTTCATAGATTTAACTATAATTTGATGGACTAATAAGTATGGCCTATCACTTTAGATTTTGAGTATGTTTTTTTTTCTTTAACTGAACAAAAACTAAAAAAATTGAGGGAGCTCGATTTTGAATTGGAACTCTCTTTTTGCCTTAAAAGTTGATCCACTCTTAATAGATGAGATGTGGTCAGAGATTTTAGATAAAAATACTAAAATTGCGGGTAATTTGAATTCACTATTAATGCCACGTCTCATAGGATAATTTAAATCTTGATAGAACATGTTCCACAACAACAACAACAACAAAGCCTTAATTCCACTATGTGTGGTCGGCTACATGAATCCCTTTTATCCATGCGTCCTATTTAATGTCATATTTTCATTTAATTTTAATAATTTAAGATCATATTTTCATTTAGTTCATCAAATTATATTTATATCTCTAACTGAACAAAAACTAAAAAAAATTGTGGGAGCTCTATTTTGAAATGGAGCTCTCTTTTTGCCTCAAAAGTTGGTCCACTCTTAATAGATGAGAAGTGGTCAGAGATTTTAGATAAAAATACTAAAATTGCGGGTAATTTGAATTTACTATTAATGCCACGTCTCATAGGATAACATTAATTCTTGATAGAAATGAATTTAAATTGGTAGTATGTTCCATGTGTTACTTAAAATAATACGCTGACTGTCAACATTACTACTTTGTTGCATATAAGAAACTACGCATGTGCTTATAATGGACGGTGGAAGGATTGATGCATGCATGCATGCGAATATCTCATCCTTTCCCTTTTTAGATTTCTTAGATTGTCCTTTTATCTAATAAACCATTTTCATACTCCCCTGACATCTGATAATCTTCTTTTTGAAGAGTGCAGCGGACCAAACTGCGAAACAAGGAAATGGAATGTGTTGGGGGAAATAAGGGTGGGTATATTTGCGAAGCAAGATATTTCAACTGGAACAGAACTATCCTATAACTACAACTTTGAATGGTATGGTGGTACCAAAGTTCGGTGCCTCTGTGGCGCTGCCTGCTGTTCTGACTTTCTCGGGGCTAAATCACGTGGTTTCCAGGTGATTCTCAGTAAATACTATAATTTTAGCTTGAGGATTTTCTTGAACTGCTTGTACTAGTGCTCTGCTTCCTATAAAGGTAAAGCTTAATAATGATTTATGATGAAAAATATGATCCAGTGGAAGGGTTGGGGTAGCTCCAGTGGCAGACAAGAGTAGAGAGAGCTGCCTTGGATTGTTCAGTCACATTAAACATCAATCATCTGATGATCCTGCTAGGAGAGTAAACATTTTTTATTTGACTTTCACTAAGAAAGGTAGAGGTAGACCTAAAAAAAGTTGGACATATTGTATAAATAATGATCTTATTTTGTTAGAATTAAATGAAAATATAACTCTCAATAGGACATAATGTAGAAAATGATTCATGTAGCCGACCCCATTCAATGGGATAAAGGCTTCTTGTTGTATGAAAAATATGATCCAGTGGTGATCATTCGATCATGGTCCATCAAACGTACTAGTTATGGGATGAACAACTTTTTGCTAGACTAGTTAGCAGAATTTACAAGCTATCTTTTTTTTTTTTGCTAGCAATATATTCTTACGGCTATTATTGAGAGTTTTGATCAAATTGAACTTCACTCAGAATTGATACCTTTCAAGTCAATCCATCAATCAAAATCAATTCGATTCCTAGCTAGCTTAAAGTCTTTTTGATGTGACTTGAAAGTGGGTTTGAACCTGAAATCCCTTGGATGGATGAATAAACACTTGAACTATAGATGAATGCGTGTCTATGTACATATATATCTATATATGTATAGGGATATTCTTGATCTTTAAACCCACTTGAGATCGAGTTTGAGTTACTTGCCCCTTTATCATATTCCTACCCTTAGAAAATTTTATCAGTGGTAAGATCCAAACACCAGTAGCCTTTTTGAGTGGTGGAATAGCCAAGGAAGACACATTTGATTAAGTGGGGATCAAGTTTACTATGGGTTAGGTATATGTTCCGAACAGAGGTCATGTACCCAAATATTTTGGAGCTAAAGTGGAGGACCAGTTAGTAGGAAAACATGATATGAAGACCGGATAATGGGTTCCGAAAGTTATGGATTTTTGTTGGAACTCTATTGATGAGGTTGTTGGTGCTGATGATGACATCCTTCCAAAAACATGTAGGGACATTCATTTAAAACATAATAGAACGAGCAACTTCAAGAAGATGTCTATTTTTTCGCTCGGTTATCTCGTTTTGTCGAGGGGTATCCATATAGTAACTATGATGAAGGATACCCTTATCCACTAAGAATTTTTCCAATATAGAGTTAAAGTATTCACTGTCATTGTCGGTCCGAAGGAGTTGAATACTTGTTTTTAATTGGATTAAATTGAAGGAGTGAAAATTTTTAAAAATGACCGCAGCTTTAGATTTATTTTTTAACATATAGACCTAAGACATCCGAGTGTGGTTATTATTTAAAGTAAGAAGCCACTTTTTATTTGTATATCTCACAAGTTGAGAGGGTCCCCATAAATCACTATGAATAAGTGAAAAAAGAGTGAAAAAAGTGTAAGGATGCCGTAGATATGAGACACGTTGATTTATTTTTTAACATATAGACCTAAGACATCCGAGTGTGGTTATTATTTAAAGTAAGAAGCCACTTTTTATTTGTATATCTCACAAGTTGAGAGGGTCCCCATAAATCACTATGAATAAGTGAAAAAAGAGTGAAAAAAGTGTAAGGATGCCGTAGATATGAGACACGTTGATTTATTTTTTAACATATAGATGCTTAGCTAATTGATGAATTTCACTTTTAAATTATGGATTTTTATCAATAAACATCAAGGGGTACAAATGTTTTAAATAATGAAAATTGGAATTACCTAAATAACAATGTAAAAGCATTATTGGACATGTAGTAGAAACAAAAAACTACAATTATGAGACTGAGTGTCAGTATCATCTATGCCATTTTCTTGGAAAAATAGAGTCCGACTACCCGCTTAGAAGTTCCATTCATCCTCCCCTAATGACGATTCTGAAAGGTAGAAACATTAGGGGAAAAATGAGCAACGCAATCAAGATCACATGTTAGCTTACTGACCGATTAGTGGTTGCACTTACGTAAAGGAACGTGTATCAAAGAATCCAAATTAAGCTATGTTGTAAGTACAACCGACCCTTTAGCTGCAATGGAATTACAAGAGCTGCCGACAGTATTAATCTTATCTCTCTTGGAACAAGAATACATCCAGAAGAAACGAGAACTCCCGATCATATAGTAATGTAGTGTACCACATTTTTTTTAATTTTATATCAACTTTTAAGTCATAATATATATTGTGTAATTGACGTAAGTTTTTTGCTGATGATATCTTTCTTTTGGTTTATAGGAAAAACTTGAATTATGAAGGTCTACTTTAGAGTTTAAAGGTCTTCGTTTGAGGGGATCTAAAACTGAATACATGGAATGTAATTTTAGTAGTGGTAAATCTAGTGGTAGGGTTGTAAGAATGGGTGATGCGGGGCTTTAGGCGAGGACCGGTCTAGGGTTCGGTCTAGCTTGTTTGGACCAGCCGGCCCTCAAAGGGGGAAGGCTACCGAACCTCATTTCCTTTTCCCTTCTTCATTTCCCTCCTTTCCTTTTCCCATCCCTTTCCTTTTCCCCTTACTTTCCTTTCATTCCATTCTTTTTTTCCTAGCGCCTTTATATTTTAAAGCCCTTTCCAAATTCTGAATTTTGATTACTTTTATTCACCTACTTAATCAGATTTCCCCTCACTTTATTTTCTTGCCTAGATCTAAAATCCTGATTATATTTGATTATTTTTTCTATTTTAAATATTGCCTAAAATTTGTCCTAGCTTCATTATAAATAAGGGATAATGTGTTTAGAGTTGAGGGTTTTGTTTTTGAATCGGAATTCAACATTGTGTTTTCGCTTTTAAGGGTTGTATCCGACAACAAAATAAGTGCTCCGACTGTAACCCCATCCGAGGTGATGATTGTCTCCGTCTTTTTTACTCCCATTGACTTGCAACCATTCCTTCGTCGCCGCCATCCCCTCTTCTTGCTGCAGTCCCATAAAACAACAAGTTATTGCTTCTGCAGCAACCCACTAGCTCCTCCTACAATCTCTTCCTCCTTGCCGTCACCGCCGCCGCCACCCCTCCCCCCCCCCAAAAAACCCCCACCCCAAAACCCCCCCCCCCACCCCCCCAAACTCCCCTCTTCCCCCTTCGTTGTCCCATTTATTACCCTCCTACAACCTTCCTTTCCTTCCTGTAAAAAAACCAGTCGCAACATCCAGCTCCCCTATGCTGCTGTTACCTAATCACAACCCCTACTCAGTCCTTCCCCTGCATCTCTTGCCACCCGCAACCAAACTGGCTCCCTCCCATTGCACCACGATTCCTTCTCTCATCTGCTCACCTCGCAACCAACTTCTCTTAAGTCCCTCCAACCCCCCTCACCTCGCTATCTAGCAACCACCTCACACCGTCGTCCTTACCCTAGGGTGTTCGTTTATGTTTGTTGTCTTTTATTTCTTGTTTGTAAGTGTCTGGTTTGTAACCGTTTTACATTTCAATATTATAAATTTACATTTTTTATTGTGGTTTGGGTTTTGTCCGGTATGAATGGGTGATCAAATTATTAGAATGAGTGAATCTCTTAGATATCGTGGGTCTATTGTTCAATGTGATGGTGATATAGATGGGGTTGTTATGAGTAGAATTCAAGTTGAATGGCTAAAGTGGAGGAGTGCATTGGGCCCATTGTGTGATAGAAAAGTACCGCTAGACTTGAATGAAAATTTTATAAGATGGCGAGTTTCGCAATGGTTTATGATGCAGAACGTTTGCCTATATAGCAGAAGCATAAAACTAAGTTAAGTGTTGCTGAGTCGAGAATATTTTGGTGGATGAGTGGCTTTACACTTAGAGACAATGCGAAACGAATATATTCGTGAAAGGTTTGGTGTAGCTCCAATGACAGATAAGATTATAGAGAGTCGATTTAGATGGTTTGGTCATGTTAAACCTCGACCATCTGATGATTTGGTTAGGAGAGTAGTTGTTATGGATTTGATTTATTTTAAGAAAGGTAGAGGTAGACATTGAAAGACCTGGGCATATTGTATAAAAAATGATTTTAATTTTTTAATTAAATGAAAATATGACACTCAATAGGACGCAATGGAGAAAAATGATTCATGCAACCGACCCCACTTGTGTGATAAAGGCTTGGTGGTGTTGTGTTGTTAATGAATGTATTTATATATTAATAGTTTTGTAAAACTCATTAACGTTTTGTTTAATAAAAGCATCGTTTTATTCTGTGGTTTGCGCTTTGAAGCAAAAGTAAAACCTTGCACATCACATTGTGCTTTGTGCTTTTATGACACTGGTAAGAGTTTACTTGTCATGCTTGTGAGAGACTAATGTCTTTCTAAGGTGTAAACTATTGTATAAGCATTTGCAAAGTAAAATTTATATGTAAGTTTCTTCTCCAACAATATGTCAGATCAATTGCTACAAAGAACTAATCAACAGAAATCATAATAATAAAGAACTTGAATCAGAAACATGATTGTTAATTGAGGTAGGTTGAGAAGCAGAGAACGTTACTCTGACTTGGTTAATCACACTGATTATCTCTTTTAAACCTTGATCATCAATGATTAACTTGACGTTTTTAACACTTTATACCCTCTTTGACCCTACCTCAACATATACTCAATGATATCCAAAGTTTAAGTTATCAATCAATTCCATAACAAGTGTCAGTTTTCTTAATCATGTTAGTGCTTGCTTGTGTAATTTATAGGACCTTAAATTCTTTCCAAGTGTACCTATGCTATTATAGTCACACCATGTACTTTTGTATTATCTTGTCTGCAGCTGAATGGTGTTTGAAACCTCAGCACAAAATTTTACCATTTTAAGTTTCCTTTATTTTATTATTGTTTCGAGAGCTTCAAGTGGTATTACTCTAAACAATATTTACAATTTTCTCTTTTTGAGTACTCTTTTCTCATTGAGACTACATTCTTTGTAGGAGGCCACCTATCTTTGGGAAGATGATGATAACAGGTATGATTATTGCATTTTTCCCATCATTTTAATCTTTACATCTTGCGTGTTCAAGAAATCCAAATGAAATAAACTTATGGTTTGTGTTGTTAACTTATGCTATGTATTGTTATTAGCAGATGTAAGAGTTGGTTTGTTGACATTATTGAGATTTAAATTTTAATTAATGATATCTAGATATTGTCCAGATGTACTATCATCTGTATATCAACAAAATTTATCTCCATCTAGAAATTTAACAAGTACTCAACATCTTGGTATTAAATCGTATAATGGCCAACGTAAATGATTGAAAAGCAAAGAAGGATTGTAATAATCACTAATCGTATTAAATAGGTTCCATTTTTTAAGATTGCAATGAACAAAAAAGTATTTGATAGATGACATTGTCATCTTAATAGCGCTATACAACTTTTGCAATTTGTCTTGATCCTAAAAATACATGCAAATAGTTTGCAAATTTGAAATTTTTGTATATTGAATCATTAAAGAATTGGTAGAATTATGTATGCTAATTTTTTTTTGCTATGGATGATAGTTAATATGTGCCGATTGAAGCTGATTTGCATATCATTTTAGTAGAATGATGTATTCTAATTCTTATGCTTGATTCTTGAGTTATACCTTTTTTTTGGCTGCTGTTCACAACTTTTGTAGAAGTATAGGACTTATTCTTATCGAGATTTAGCGTAAGCGCGAAACATTTATCCTTGATGATACATTAACTTGAGTGGATTTTGATGTGCAAAGGAAAAAAAAAAAAAAAAAAAAACTTTAGCAGAAGATTAACGAGCTTCCGGTTCAAATTCACACATGGCCTGTTCTTTGGGATAATTACATGTTAGAAGTCATCTAATTGACTAAGCATATCGAAATGGTTGGAATATCAAGTTCACACATCACTTTTGGGTTCTATTGGGAGATAAGGTTGACATAAAAATATATAAAAAATCCTAAACTATGAGAGGCTATGTAACACTCGGTTTGCAATGGTTTGAAAACTGGAATGAAGCATTTCATATACTGGAAATGGAAATGAAGCGTCGAGATGCAAAATTAAATAGAGACGAAAGGAGGAAGAAAGAAGAGAGTGAAAAAGGAGAACAAGAGAAGTGTCATGCGTAACCCTAGCGGTGAAACAGTTGAGATGGAGGGAGGCGTTCAGTTTTGAGGTGTAGAAGGAGAAGATGCACGTCAAAGTCAAAGCCGAAGTCGAGTGAGGGAAGGTTGAACATGTGTACTCAAGAATAAGGAAAACAATGTCACCGTCACAGTGAAGGTGGCCGCCGTCGCAATAAAGGTGCCCATTTTTCACATACGAGAGGCTCGATTTGGTTTGGTGCGAAGGAAGAGGAGCATTGAGTTGGACAAACAAATTTTAGGCGTGGAAGGGAGGACGTCACGTGCGACTTTGTTCAAGGGAGACACATTTAGGTTCTGTGTCAAAAAATAGAGTAGGGAGGAAGGCTCTACATACTGCTCCAACGTGAAGGTGGAAGAAGAGGGGAGAGGTTGTCGAATATGAAAGAGGAAGGCCTCGCGAGCACGAGCAAAGCTTTATTCGTGCAAAGAAGATGAGAGGTGTCGGGGCGAAGCAAACAAAGGCAATGTTAAACTGTTTTTTTGAGCCGAGACAAATTTTGCGTACTGGAGAAGAGCTGCACTGATGTTTGTGTGGTTTTTTTAAGATTAATTATTTAATTGAAAAAAATTTGAGTGTTAACCGTGTTGAGGTAAGTTTTAAGTAGTTTTTTTATATATAATGAATAGCAAAATAAAATTAATTAGCATTTATATAAAGAAGTAAAATGTTAAAAATATAATGCTTAAATAATGTAAATAGATTAATATAAATAAAAAATTAAAGATTAATTTGCCATAATGAATTAATATAATTCAATTTTATTAAAAAGAAAACATGTTTATTGTAGGCAATAAATTAGAGGAGTTGACTTCTAAGTCAAATCAAAAAACAAATCAATTGAAACCATGGTAAGTACTTTTACTTTTAAGCTACGGTAACTTTTAGTTCTTCTAAATCAAATCCATTGATTGTTACTAAGGCCTGATTGCATCATTTTACTATGATTTTTGATGCTCTTTTAGATGTTGGCCATATCATAGTGATGAATTATATTTTTTGAAAGAATAATGTTATGCATTTTTTAAAGGTAGAATTGAATGAAAATAACATATGAATGATATGAACTATATAATATGTTTGTACGTGCATGCTTGACTATGATGAAATTCACCTCCTTGTGATACTATCTAGGAACGCTAAGGTAACCATGCACTAAAATGAAAGGAAGATATTAATATTGATGTACCTTCATTGTTATAATTTTATACGATGCTCTTATAACGCTTGTATCGGCATAAAATAGTATAGACATGTTACTGATATAATAAAATGTATTGAATGTTATAAACTATCGTGAATGATCATATTTGAAAAATAAACTATATAATACTTCTATATTGATTTATAGTATTTTAACTAGCATCGATAACATTCTCTTTTGATTACGTTACTATAGTTTAAAAGTACGAGTATTTACTAGTTTTTTAGTTTACTTTTATTTTAAAGTAACATTACATGTTCAATCATTTAATTAAAAGATAAATAATAAAAGAGAAAATGTATAAAGAAGACGCGAACAACTTGGGCTAAGTTAAAACGTTAATTTGTTTTTTTGTGGCTCTTTCATTTTTTTTAAATTATAAATTGTTAATGACAGAAAATAAATAATAGAAAAACATGATTATCATTGTCTGACCGTCTGTTTTCGTCTTGGTTAATTTCAAGCCTCGGGCCGGGTCATGACAAAAATGGTTATCACTCAACGAAAATTAGGCATTCTTAAATTTTTTTGGGTAGCTCTAACTTAATTTGCATAATGATTAATTTGTGTAAAGTTCATGAATTTCAAGGACAAAATTTTGATGAGGGGAGATTATAATAATTGAAAAATAAATAAAGTAAAATATAATTATTTGGAAATGTCTGTTCAAACTAAATTTCTCGACAATTACTTCTTAAGTGACAGACATCTCACTCGAAAGAGAGCGAGAGATGAAAACGAGTGTTGAAGAAGTAGCAACACAAACACCCTAGTTGGAATGTCGCTTGCGGGAAGTCATCATCGAGAGCATTCTGTGCATAGAAGAAAGGAAGAAGGTCGAGTAGTGCTATCGTGCAGGCGAGAGGTGGGGCATCAATTGCAAGAGGATCACTCACATTGAGAAGGAATAGGGGAAGAATCGAGGGATTCGAGCATCAGGTTTCTAATGGTTCGAAAATTGGAATGAAGTTTTTCATATATTGGAGATGGAAATGAAGAGTCGAGACACATGATTTAAATAGAAGAAGAAAGAAGAGAACTAGAAAGGTAGAGAAGAAGAGAAGTCTCGTTATAACTCTAGCGACAAAACCGTTGAGACAGAGGGAGCTTTTTAGTTTCGAGGTGTGGAAGAAGGAATGAGAAGACACGTGTTGACGCCGAAGTCGAGAGAGGGAAGGTTGAACGCTTGCACTTGAGAAGAAGGAAAATGGTGTCATTGTCACAATGAAGATTAGTCATTGTCGCAGTAAAGGTGCCATTTCTCACATAAGGGAGGCTTAATTTCATTCGGTGAGAAGTAAGATTAGGAGCATTGTGCAGGACAAACAAATTGAGGCCTGAAAGGGTGGACGTCGCATGCACCATGTTCGAGGGAGACCTGTTCAAGTTCTGTGCGAAGAAGGGCTGGAGGAAGGCTTTTCTTGCGGCTCTAACGTGAGGTAAGTTCTAAGTAATTTTTTTTATATATAGTGAATAACAAGATAAACTTAATTAGAAAATGCATAAAGAAATAAAACAATGAACATTTAATGCTTAAATAATGTAATATTAATAGGTAACAAGATTAATATAAATAGAGGAGTAATTTACCATAATGAATTAATATAATTCAATTTTATTAAAATGAATATATGTTTTTTGTAGGCAACAAATTAGAGGAGTCGAGATTCAAGAAAAATCAAAGAACAAATCAATTGAAATCAAGGTGTTTATTCTTAATTTTAAACCATGGCAATTTTTTACTTCTTCCAATCCAAATTCATTGATTGTTACTAAGGTCTGATCGTATCATTTTACTGTGATTTATACGCTCTTTTAGATGTTGGTCATATCATTGTGATGGATTATATTTTTTGAAATATTATTGTTATGTATTATTTAAATTTAGAATTGAATGGAAATAACATATGAACTATATAGTATGTTTGCATGTGTATGCTTAACTATGATGAAATCCACTTCTTTATTGTACTAACGAGGGAACGTTAAGGTATCTGTGCACGTAAATGAAAACAAATATTGAAATTGATGTACTTTCATTAGTACAATTTTATATGGTTCTCTTATGACGACTGTGCATATGTAAAATGCTATAAACATGCTACTGATATAGCAAAACACATTGAATATTATGAGCTATTGCAAATAATCATATCTGAAAAAGTAAATTGTCTAATGCTTTTATATTGATTTATAGTATTTTGACTAGCATGCTTATCGTTTCCTTCTCGCTACATTACTATAGTTTAGAAGTATGAATATTCTCTGACTTTTTAACTCGTCGTTTTAAACTAATATTACAGTTTAATTATTTGACTAAAAGATAAATAATAGTAGAGGAAATGTATATAGAAGACGTAAAAAACCTCACCTGAGGTAAAAATGTAATTATATTATTTTAATTTATTTTCTTCAATAGCTCATTAAGTTTATTTGAGTTATAAAATGTTACTCATAGGAAATGAACAATAGAAAAATATGATTATCATCATTTGACCCTTTGTTCCCGCTTTGGTTAATTCCAAGCTAAAGGAAAGAAAGGAACTAAAGGAAGAATAAATAAATAAAGCATACATATTAACTTGTTTTAGGAATCTCCACTTTACAATTAATTTTATATCAATTGAGTGTGTGAGTTTGTGAGGGCACTTATTT